GACCAGTCTCGGCAATAAAAAAGTTAGCCAGATGTGGTGGTGCATGCCTATAGTTCCAGCTACTTGGAGGCTGAGGTGGAAGGATCGCCTGAACCCAGGAGGAGGAGGGCACAATGAGCTGTGATTGTGTCACTGCACTTCAGCCTGGGCAACAGAGTGAAACCCGACTCAAAAAAAAAAAGGAGCCAGAGAGAACTCCCAGAACACACACCAGCATGGTGGGAGTGTATGAGGGGAGCTGAACAAACCTGGGCTGCTGCTGGTGGGCAGGTCCATGGTGGATTATCAACAAGTGAGTAAAACCTCAGAACAGTCCCCAGTCAACAAGAAGAAATGGAAGTATATTGTTGCTATGGCTACATCCAAATAGAGTACATTATGATAAAGCTAGGCTCAAATTTATCATGGTACCCATTCTCTCTGTGGCCGTGCTCAACCCTCCTCTGAAAGTGAAACATCCATGACCTGCAGGACGAGAAGAACCAGCATCACAGCAATAAAGCATCTCCACAGGTGATCCTTGCTTGGAAAGGCATTCGCTATGCCCTTGAGAGTCCCTGCATGTTTTCTTGCTGCATATACCAAGAATGTAAAGCCCTGACTGTCCCTGACCAGGGCCATTTATTGGGGTTATAATTGCAGCAAGCAACCTTGAGAGAATATGTTATCTAAGTCCTTCATGGAGGAGTGCCAGCTATCCCAGTGGGAAAAATCATTATCCCCCTCTCTGCCACATAAAGCAAAGCCACTGGCTCAACAGGGGTCTCAATTCCCCTAAGTACTCAGACCTGATCTGCTGTAATTCAGCTAAGTTAAAAATAAATAGCATAGGTCATTGGCTTGCTAAGCTATGGGTAGCTATGTATTCTTTGAGCTATGGCCAGGTCATGTTTTCTTAAGCTTTGGCCCCCTTCCCTACCTTGAGGAGGTGAATCTCCTCTTTCTCTTTTTCTTTCTAGTTTAGTTTTTAAATAAACTGTATTTTCTAATCTAAAAAAACATTAATAGCATTATACAGAAAAGAGTTAACAGTCAGCCTGACTGCCATTCTTTAAAAGGCCTGCTTCCGGCCAGGCGCGGTGGCTCGGCCTGTAATCCCAGCACTTTGGGAGGCCGAGGCGAGAAGATTGCCTGAGCCCGGGGGTTCGAGACCAGCCTGGGCAACTTGGTGAGACCTCATCTCTACAACAAATCACAAAAACTAGCCAGGCATGGTGGCGTGTGTCTATAGTTCCAGCTACTTGAAGGGCTGAAGGAAAGGATAAACTAAGCCTAGCAGGTGGAGGCTGTGGTGGCTGTGAACATGCCACTGCACTCCAGCCTGGGCAACGAGAATGAGACTCCAACTCAAACAAAAAAAGAGGCCTGCATGTCTCACACCTATAATCTCAGCACTTTGGGAGGCTGAGGTAAGAGGATTACCTGAGCCCATAGGTTCAAAACCAACCTGGGCCAACTTGGGAAGACCTCATCTCTACAATAAATCAAAAAATTAGCCAGGCGTGGTGGTGTGCGCCTGTTGTTCCAGCTACTTGGAAGGCTGAGGTGGAAGGATCGTCAAAGTCCAGCAGGTTGAGGCTGCGGTGGCCATGAGCATGCCACTGCACTCAAGCATGGGCGACAGAGTGAGACTCCGACTCAATAAATAAATAAATTAAAGACCCGTTTCCAAGGCTAGCCCTTGGCTGGCATCTGGGAACTTGCATTTCAGGAGGGCTCCTACCACCCTAACTGATAGGAGTGGTTCATTGTGCCTAAACTGTTTGTATAAAGCTGAATATTTGCTTTCCTCTGGGGAGTTTGGGGTTTTTGTACAAGTTAGGCAAAAAGTACCCACATGACCAGCTCCCAGTAAAAACCTGGGCATGAACTTCCCTGGCAGACAACATTTACACATATTATCACAACTAGTTGCTGGGGATACTAAGCACATCCTGGGTGACTCTAGTGGAAGAGGACTCTGGAAGCTGTGCCTAGCTTCCCCTAGACTTTGCCCCATGCATCTTTTCCCTTTGCTGATTTTGCTTTGTATTCTTTCTCTGTAGTAAATCACAGCCATGAACATGACTATATGATGAGTCCTGTGAATCCTCTTTGTGAATCATCAAACCTGGGAGTGGTTTTGGGAACCCCTGACACAGGTGTCTATGGGTAGCAGCAGCTATCCAGCCCCAGTGACAAAATTGGAAGACTAACTGCCATAAAGGCCAGTCAGACAATGACCTGAATTAAAAACCATCATCATCCTTGCTTAGGTCATACTCCTAACAACTAGGCATGTTATATTCTGAACTGTTGTCAGTGTCCTAGCCATCTGAAGACTGCAAACCAGCAAATGAAAGACACTTAACCTTCTTTACAGCCAAAAACTGTGGAAACAAATTTTAGTTGCAAACTGGACAGTCTGGGTCACTCATTTAGATGCCCACAGTAAGGATCATTCTCTGATGAGATCAATTCTCTGATGAGAATCCAACTGGATTCGAACTGCTCATCAAGCCTACACCATCCAGATCACTGCCACTGTCACCTAAATGTATCACTGTACTAGATGTGACAACACATCTACTACCAATGACTGGTGCACAAAGCAGAGGACTCTATATTTCTGGGTCAACCACCTGAGTCTCTGGCTGGAATGGTATGGATCAAGATCAATAGGATTATGGGCATGTGGTTGAGTCTACAGCTTGCTGATTTTCCCTGAGGGGCCCACGTGGATAAAGATATAGCAAGGTCTCTATAAATCTGTAAAAATGCCCTGGTCCTACTCAGACCTGATGCTTCTGAATAAAAGGTCTACGTGAGAGTAGTAAGCAATTAGAGAAAAAGTAAAACTATAGTTTCTGGGATAAAACACATGGATTTCTTTTTTTTTTTTTTGAGTTGGAGTCTCACTCTGTCGCCCAGACTGGAGTGCAGTGGCACGCTCCCAGTCACTGCAGCCTCGACCTGCTGGGTGCAGGTGATCCTTCCGCCTCAGCCTTCCAAGTAGCCGGAACTACCACGCGCACTACCACATCCAGCTAATTTTTGATCTATTGTAGAGACAAGGTCTTACCAAGTTGCCTGGGTGGGTCTCAAACCGGCAGGCTCAGGCAATTCACTCGCCTTGACCTCCCAAAGTGCTGGGATTACAGGTTGAGCCACCAAGCCCGGCCAACACATAGATTTTGTAGCAAATAATCCTGGCACCCAGAAAGTGTGGGGAGCAATTACTGCTCTCTTTGTCTCTTAGATCCTGCACTGCCACTTGGCGATACAATCGTAGTCTGCCAAAGCCCAGTGGCAGCTGCTGTTGTCAATGTGGCCAGCTGTTGGGCATATCATTCCAGTCCACGTGAGAGGAAAACTCACATAGACACATCAGCACTGAACTATTCTGCTGTGCCAAATACCATCAAAGATAATTCCCAACAGTGATCCTGTGCAGACATACAAGCCAGAATAACCTTGTTTTAATCTGACAGGTACAAATTCATCTGCTTCTCCTGATGCCCAAGCAGCCTTGGATTATGCCATGTAGGGCAAATGAAGCTCCATGGTGACACTGTCCTTGGGCTTAGTCAAAGCTTGTGCTAGAGATCCAAATCAAGTGTAACATGGGAAAGAATGGGTCATGGATGTATCCCTATAGGGGACAAGGGTTTCTTTGGGCCCATTCATTGCAGTCTGTAATTACTGGCAATAACATCAAAGATTGACAGGTCAATCTCAATGCTCTCATGTGGGTAGTGATGGATAATAGATTGGTCTTAGAACATACCCTGATCGTCTAAAATGAGACCTACTGGTCCCACCAGGACTTAAGTCACAGTCGGGTGAGTCTGAGACCCTGGAGGACATGGTTGAGGTCAATACTGCAGGTTGGCCCCATTCTGTTTTTTAGAGTACAGTTGATAGTAGCCTTAAGTAAATAAAGTATGAGACAAATTGAATTGATTTGGTCCTACAGCCTCTATCAGTCAAACTAATCAGACTAAATGTCATATTAATGAGAAAATTTGAGTTAATCCAAGACATGTAGGGCTTGGGGTAGACTGTTGGGGTGGGCAACCCACCATGGCCCTGAGCGTCCCTGCATGTTCTTGCTGGGTACACCAAAAATACAAAGTCCTGACCCCTCTTTCCCTGGACCGTTTTTCAGGATTTGTCTGTAGAGAGCATCCTTGAAGACTGAGGCAATGTCTCCCACCAAACAAAGAGTAGGCTTGCCTCTGTTCACTATAAAAATGGTAAATTTCCTAAACTGGTGGTTCTCAGTTGTGATCCACACCCACTACATGTAGCATCCACCAGGGGACTTGGGGAACAAAGTGAACCAACACAACCAAGCCAACATTCTGGCTACTGCATTTGTTGTAATAGAGTCCGATGTCTCTGACCTGTGTCCATGAAGCAGAAATAGGCTAGTTCATGGGCCTACAAGCAGGGTAAAATCCTATAACATTCACAGAGCCAATACTCCCCTATATAGTCCTCCAGCCACCAACCATGCAGCCTTTCCTTCCTGCCCTTCCTGGCTATGTCCAGCCACCTCTGATCCCTTCCTCCTTCCACTGTATGTGTCCTCATCTTTCATCCCAAACTGTAGCCTCCAGTCCTCAGAGTCCACCTCAGCCTCCTAGAATGAGAGCATGTGCAGGAGAGCAGGATAGAAGCCAGATGGTACTCAGAGGCTCAAGGGAAGAGTGTAGGCTGACCTCCCTGGCTGCCCTGATGTTCACCTGAAGTGGGATGCCTATTTTGTGCTGGGATGGGTGTATTTACAGCCTCCAACTGCCCCCAACAGTTCCCATAGCTGAAGTCTACACCCCATGGACAGGGAACCTGTGGCAAGAGGAGCAGTGACTCGCCCACAGGCTCCAGTAAATGAGTGATGGTTTCTACATCCAGACCTAGGCATGTCTGACTCCAAGTCTAAAGTCACCCAAGGCCCCATCCCTTGCAAGTCCCAGCCTAAGCAAAGTAGACACAGCCACAGGCCCCTGGCAGCTCACCTCTGTGCGGTCTGTTTTAAATGGGTTCTGGAAGTTGGAGTCTTTCTCACTGATCCCCAGCTCCTGGGCCATCTGCAAAAAGGAAAAGCTAGTCATCCTCTGCCTTCTGCTTACCAGAGAGCCGCTCCCTCCATGCAGGGACCCAGGTCCCAGGCTTGGGCAGATGTGGGCCAGGTGATGACCTCAAAGGATCCAGATCTGCACAGAACCACTTAAAATGGAATTTCTGTGGCCCAAGGTACCCTAATGCCCAACAAAGAAAACACAACCAAGCACTGATTCAGGTCCAACTAAAGGCAGATGTGAGGCTCCTGGCCCATCACCAGACAGAGGGCTCCTGGGCTTCCTCTGTCCCTTACCAGGTTGAGGATGGGCGAGTGGGGCCCCTGGTCAAAGACGCCTGTTTGATTGCAGAAGCTGATGCCCCAGCGGATGAGGAGGTTCCAGTTGGAGTTGCGGTCAAAGTAGTGGTGCACAATCCTCGGGAAGCGTAGTACTACATCGCCGAAGAAGGCCGTGTTCTCCACCACATGGGAGAAAGCTGTCAAGAGGATCCTGATAAGTGGCCAGAGTAGAAACCTGCCTAACGCCTGCCTGGCTAGGACCTGACAGCCTCCAAAGAAAGAGGCACCCACCAAACCCACTAAGCAGAGAAAAGAACAGCACCCATGACCATGTGTGTAGTGTGGGCTAAGGATCTTACGTCCACCAGCTCACTGAATCCTCGTAACCACTTTCAGAGTGAGATATGACTGCTGTTCCCATTTTACAGATGAGAAACTGAGGCTCAGAAGCTAGTGAGCGGCAAATCTGGGCTGCAAATCCAGGTCTGTGTGTCTGCCCAAAGGCATATCTCACCACAGGAGAGTGTTGTTTAGTACATGGATGCTGACGCATCACACAAGGCTTTGCTGGGCCTGACTCCCTGATATGGTATTCAAATGTCCAGTTGTGGGCTCTGGTGTTAACACAAGAGTGTTTGTGAGAGGCCAGGTCTGTCAGGATAGCCAGGGAACAGGCCATGGTTTTTCTTCTTTAATATTCCTTCCACTCTATTTCACTTTACATGCTTCTTAAGTTCTTATTTTGAACTTACTTTCTTTTCTTTTTTTTTTTGAGTTGGAGTCTCACTCTGTCGCCCAGACTGGAGTGCAGTGGCCGCTCTCGGCCACCACAGCCTCGACCTGCTGGGCTCCGGCGATCCTTCCGCCTCAGCCTTCCGAGTAGCCGGAATTACAGGCATGCGCTACCATGCCCAGCTGATTTTTTTGATTTATTGTAGAGATGAGGTCTCGAACCCGCGGGCTCAGGCAATCCACTCACCTCAGCCTCCCAAAGGCGCAGGATTACAGGCTGAGCCACCGAGCCTGGCTCTTACTTTATTTTCATTTTACTTTTTTTTTTTTTTGAGTCAGAGTCTCACTCTGTCACCCAGGCTGGAGTACAGCGGCACAATCACAGCTACTGCAGCCTCAACTTCCTGGGTTCAAGTGATCCTTCCGCCTTAGCCTTCTAAGTAGCTGGGACTACAGGCACAAGCCACCATGCCCAGCTAATTTTTTTTATTGTAGAGACAAGGTTGTCTCATCATGTTGCCCAGACTGGTGGTCTCCACCTCCTGGGCTCAGGCAATCTTGCCGTCCTCTCAAAGTGCTGGAATTATAGGCATGAGCCACCATGCTAGGTCTTGAAATTATTTTATTTATTTTATTTTTATTTATTTATTTATTTTTTAGTTGGAGTCTCACTCTGTCGCCCAGACTGGAGTGCAGTGGCCACTACCAGCCACCGCAGCCTCGACCGGCTGGGCTCCAGCAAGCCTTCCGCCTCAGCCTTGCTGGAACTACAGGCGTGCGCTACCACACCCAGTTAATTTTTGATTTATTGTAGAGATGAGGTCTTGCCAAGTTGCCCAAGCGGGTCTCGAACCCACGGGCTCAGACAATCCACTCACCTCAGCCTCCCAAGGCGCAGGATTACAGGCTGAGCCACCAAGCCCGGCTTTGAAATTATTTTAGACTTACATAATATAACACAAAATTCCTTCACTCAGCTTCCTCTAATGTTATCATCTTATATAACCATTGTACAACTATCTCAACTAGAAAATTAACAGCAACACAATTATATTAACTAATCTACAGACCTTATTTTAATTTTGTCAATTTTCTCACTAATGTTCTTCTGCTGGTCAATAGATCTGTTTAGACCGGGCTTTGTTAGTGTGTTTTAGGAAAACAGCCTGTTGCAGAGCAAGAGTGATGCTATCCTGAAGTAAAACAGCCATGATGGTCAATATCTGACCCCTGCATACCAAGGTATTCTGCAGTAAGATCTTTAAACAATGCCTGTAGCATAAATAACGCCACATAAAGATGTTTAGTGAATCTTACCAATGGTCCTAAGTTTCACAAGAAAGTCTGAGACATGACCAGATATACATTTTATCAAAAAAAAAAACTTGCTATATAGGCCTTGTGGTGGCTCACATCTGTACTCCCAGCGCTTTGGGAAGTTGAGGCAGGAGGACTGCTTGAAGCCAGGAGTTTCAGACCAGCCTAGGCAACATAACAAGACATCATCTCTACAAAAAATAAAAATCAATCAGATGGGCGTAGTGGTGTGTGCCTATAATCTCAGCTACCCAGGAGGCTGAGGCAGAAGGACCTCCTGAACCCAGGAGGTTGAGGCTGCGGTGAGCTGTGATTATGCCACTGTACTCCAGTCTGGGTGACAGAGTGAGACCCTGACTCCAAAAAACCAAGAAAAAAACAAAACAAAAACACTTGCTCTGTAAAGGAAATGTTCTGAAGGTGGGTGCAGGGATCTACTGTCTCATGGCCACCCAAAATATTACTTCTGTTCAAAAGTCCCTATTAAATGTTTCTTTCTGAAACTGAATTTGTCAGCTTCTTTCTTTGGCCTTCAAGCTCCCTTGGCCTTTGTGGGTAGGTCTGCATAGACCTGCTCACCATGGAATATGTCCATCATGGTTGCAAGTCCTCCAGACCCAGGCTGGCATGAAGAACTATACACAACTCTGAAGGCAGCCCCTATTGGAGACAGAAGAGAGTGCCCAGGCAGCCCTCACCAGCACTGGCTAGGCCACCCAGAGACAAAGAGACTCCAAAGATATGCCAGGCTGGATCTGAGACATGTTAGGCAGCAACCCCTGGGCTTCAGGATAATCTTGAACCTTGAACAACTTGGGAGTCAACTTGGTTCAAAGGGAAGAGCCAGGCAAGTCACTTGTCCTCTTTCATCTGGAAAATAGAGGAAACTGCTTTCCTTACAGAGTTATAGTGGAGACTAGAGTTGGTATTTGTAAAGTATCACTTATTCGATACATAAGGGTTGCTTATATCCTCTCTCAAGCAGTGCAATCTAAGAATTAGATTGTAGCCAGTTAGTGTGGAAGAGAAATTCTTAGACGAGGGGATCTTATTTATATATGTTTTCCCCACTTTGTCTGAAAAGGGATTTAATGGAGTTGGAACTTTACAAATAGTAGTAAAGAGTACTGGTAACTGCCTCCACTGGCTCAGCCACTCTGACAGGCCTCAGTCTTTTCTTTAAATGAGAACAACTCTTGCTCTTCCTACCAGAAGGATCAGGGTGATGACTAACTGACCTTGTTTCGGCCTCTGGTTTTGTAGTGGGTGGTGACTTCTCCTTGGTCCTCCTGCTCCAAGCACAGGCTAGGACAAAGGAGTATATCTGTGTCAGAGGCACAGAAACTGGATCTAAAGTCCAGAAATGCTTGGAGAAACATAGACTAAATGACTATCTGCCCAAGGGATCACTTGAAAGGTGACACAAGAGGGTACTTCCAGGGAGAAAAAAATGAGTGACAAGAACAGAGAGAAGGAAGAGCTAAAGACCAGGGCTGTGAAGAGGAGAGGGTGGGGTGGGGAAAACCATACCATCCTTCAGCTTCTCATCCTGGGGGAAGGGTCCATCTGGGAGCACATCGGCAGCAATAAGCACTGTCCGTGAGTCCTCCAGTACCTGAAGGAACCCCACCTAGGCTGAGTGGCTTTGCAGAACCTGTCACAGACTGACCCCATCCCCACTTACTTAAACTCCACTTTGACTCTTTTGCATGTTGCTCCCCACCTCATTGAACACCATTCCCCCCCTTAGGACAGCTGTCCCCAACATTTTTTACATCAGGGACCAGTTTCTTAGAAGAGAATTTTTCCACAGACGATGGGATGTGGGAGACAGATGTAAGATTCTCATAAGTAGCACGCAAACTAGATCCCTCGCATGAACATTTCACAATAGGGTTTGTGCTATGAGAATCACAGATCTGACGGGAGATGAAGGAGATGAAGCTCTACTCGTCCAATGCTCACCTCCTGCTGTGTGGCCTGATTCCTAACAGGCCATGGACCAGTACTGGTCCATAGCCCAGGGGTTGGGGACACCTGTCTTAGGGAACTCTTACTTATCCATCAGTGCCCAGATAAAAAACTGGTCCTGCCACGAGCTGCCCTCTGCCTGCACATACCTTAAAAAGCCCCTTGAGCATGACATCAAGGATCTTGTACTGCTGGTGGACATCATTTAGCTGTGCCAGGTTCTTCAGTGCCAACAGCTGCTCCCTCCGCTTCACCTCAAACATCTTCTTGTCTTGGAGGCATTCAGTTAAGGGGCTTGCATCAACAGCCCTGTCTGGACAACCTGGTGGTCATGACCCAAAAGGCCCATTCCTCATCAGCAACAAGTATCTGCAAGGGCCATGGATGCCCATGGCTGGGACCTCCAGGAAAGGAACAAACTGAGAGGTACAGCCCGCAATGCATCATTCATCCAGTCCCCATCCTCCCAACCCTCCAGAACCTGGTTCCTGCCTTCCCTTCACTGTGGTCTTCTGCCCTCTCTCACATACATCCACTGTTCCAGAACCTCCACCTCTCTCACGCTGTATCCTCTGCCTTGGATGTTCCTTACCCTCCTCTAGGAGTTTCTATTCTTTCAAGACCTGTCTCAAAATGCACAGCACAGTATTTATCCCTGACTCCTACTATGTCCATCACAGCCCTGACCAGAGTACAATGATCGTTGTTTGGATGCTTTCTCCCCCTATATCTATGGATGCCTCAAAGCTAGGACTGCACCTCTCTCACGCTGTATCCTCTGCCTTGGATGTTCCCTACCCTTCACTAGTAGTTTCTATTCTTTCAAGCCTGTCTCAAAATGCACAGTACAGTATTTATCCCTGACTCCTACTGTGTCCATCATAGCCCTGATCAGAGTACGATCGTTTGTTTGTGGACTTTCTCCCCCTATACCTGTGGACGCCTCAAAGTTAGGGCTGGTTCTGATTCTTCTTTCTATCCCCAAAGCCTGGTCCAGAGGAGGTGGCTCAGTACACCACGGTCATCATAGTTCAAATAATCCAGAACTCCTGAGTTTCTGCCCGGGTCTTGCTCACAAGGTGCTAGGCATATGTACAGTCCTCATTGAGCCTCTTTGGCTCTAGAAATGTGCCTTGCCATCTCCATTTAACTGAGGCTCAGGAGAGAACTGACTTGCTCAAGGTTGGCTAGAGCACCTTACCTTCTCTGCCCTGGTCCGTCAGCTGGGCCTGATCATCTCTGGAATCCCCCAATAGGGGGACCTCATTTATAGACCTCTCAGAGACAGCTCATGAACCATCAACCAACCCGAAAGGATACAGATCTCCAGGCTCGGGTCCAGAGAGGTCCTCAGGGTGCCTGTGGCTCCTGTCCCAGACAGTAGCAGGACAAAGAGGAAGGCCAGGAACTGAAAAAGGTCCATATCCAAGACCCTGGAGCTAGAGAAGTGACCCAAAGAAAGACAGCGAGATCCAGAGGTTGGTGCTATATAAAATATAGAGTATACATGAACAGCAACTTCCCCTGACATGGAAAAGCCTCCAATACCAAGAAACAAGCTTTGGAAAGTCCTGAAGTTCCAGCCTTTAGCCCAGGGCCTGTGACCAGCAGGCATATAATACAGACCTATGGGATGGTAGAAGGAAGATAAATGTTAGAAACACAGGAATGCTTAGAGCACAGGGTCAGCATCTAGAGCTCTGAGTTGGAGACCTGTCCCTGGCCCTGACTGTGGAACCTCGGGCAGACTGCTCAGTGTAAGCCTTAGTAGCTTCCTCACCTGTAAAAGAAGGCTTAAGGAGGTTTCCTCCCTGCTGCAAGGAGGGAGGTCTGGGTGAGGTGCTATGCCCAGGGGAGGCATAGTGGTCAACAGTATTCCCTTTCAATCCCTTATCCTAACAGGAATCCCATGCAGCCAGAAGGGTATGAAACTTCTGTCCTTAGAAAGGAAGAAGGAACAAAGAGCAAGGAGGCAAGGCAGTCTTGGGGTAAGAGGGCTGCTACTCACTTTGAAACCACAGGTACCACATGCAATACCTATTCCTGTGAAAGTTCATTTTCTTTTATCTTTAAGCATGTGATTTGCTGGTCATACATCATTGCCTTCTGCTTTTCTTCTTCTTTGAGAGGGCACATCTTTTTTTTTTTTTAGGTTAACTAAATGTGTTTGTTTGTTTTGTTTTGTTTTGAGTTGGAGTCTCACTCCGTCGCCCAGGCTGGAGTTCAGTGACACGCTCGTGGCCACCCCAGCAGCGACCTGCTAGGCTCCGGTGATCCTTCCACCTCAGCCTTCCAAATAGCCGGAACTACAGGCGTGCACTACCACACCTGGCTTTTTGATTTATTGTAGAGACGAGGTCTCGCCAAGTTGCCTGGGCTGGTCTCAAACCCGCGGGTTCAGGCAATCCACTTGCCTCGGCCTCCCAAAGTGCTGGGATTATAGGCTGAGCCACCAAGCCCGGCCTGTTCGCCTTTTTAAAAAAGTATTTATTTATTATACAATTGTGGGGTACAAGTGAGGATCTACTACATAAGTAGGCTGCATGCAGGTGAAGTTTGGGCCTTTAGGTAGCTCTCACTCCCCCTGCTAGTGGACCAAGTACCCTTTGTGTTACCACGTGCCCCTTACCCTCCTCCCTCCCTCCTTCCCCTAGTGCCGATTCTGCCCTGTGCTAAGGTGATAAGTGATGGGGCTCACTTATAAGTGAGAACATCCAGTATTCAGTTCTTTGTTTCTGTGATAGTTCACTTAATTTGACGGTCTGATACTATTAATACATCCCAGCCAAGGCAATGATTTTGTTCTTCTTTATGGTTGCAAGAGAGTATACCTTTTTACTTGGCTGGGATGATAACTCTCTTTTAACTTTTTTGTCAGTTCCTATAAGTTTTTTCTCCAGTTCTGTTATTATGGCCTAACACTGAAACGTTGTGCCTTGAATGCCAAGAAAAGTGTTTTCTTCTAATATAACTTGGTTTTTCTTCATCTATCTAAATTGTTCCATGTAGCCAGGGAACTTCTCATGCTTTTAACTAAGATCAAGTACTCTCTTGTTCAAGATACTAGTTTTCTTGCCTATGTTCCTCTATAATATGGCAAACACTCATAACCTTGGACACACTCTTCCTGTGTCTAATTAAATTCAAGTACCAAAAAACTGAGCTATAAAAGGGTTAAGGCTTTTTGTCCTTTGTTTTTAACATGCATGTTACCTTCTCTACTGCTTTTGAAGTCTTTGATTATCACTCTGGCTAAATGTATGACTAGTATTTCATAGTGACCTGTGATCCTGTTTTTGACCAGCTGAACTTAGGAACTTTCCAGTCAAGCCATTAGAGATCCTCAAAGGATGTATTTCTCATCTTGTAGAGATATTAAGTGATTAGCCTTATTTGGTTAAGTGAATGGGAAATACTGTCAAATAATAAGTGATGTTAGCCCAAATGTAGTGGTTCACACCTGTCATCCCAGCACTTTGGGAGGCCGAGGCAAGAGGACTGCATGAGCCCAGGGGTTTGAGACCAGCCTAGGCAACTTGGTAAGACCTCATCTCAACAATAAATCAAAAAATTAGCTGGGCATGGTGGCACACGCCTATAATTCCAGCTACTTGGAAGGCTGAGGTTAAGGAGTACCTGAGACCAGCAGGTCGAGGCTGCGGTGGCTATGAGTGAGCCACTGCACTCCAGCCTGGGCAAAAAAGTGAGATTCTGACTCAAAAAAAGTGATGGTAGATCTTCTTTTAATTACATCTATGGGTATGTTGTTTACATAAATGTTCCAAAATGGTATAAAACTCTTAGAAATCTAATATGTTATCAGTCATAATTCTGGTTATGTTACCTGCCACAAAAATAACAAATTGACAAATTTCCTTGTCAACTGCTGATTACGATGAACTTCCACCAGATTTCTAACCACGGTTATTCTAAGTCTCCATCATCCACAGTTTGATTCTTTCTCTAAAAGCATTTATAACCAGGTTCATAAGACTCTAACAAGTAATCTTAAATACAAGTTTCCAAAAACTTTAAGATCAATTGACTAAATAAAAATTTTTCAGAGCTCTAATGAAGAAACTGATGAATTCATGAAACCGCTAATCAAGACCAAACAGAACAAAAATTAATTACACCAGATTAAGCTACGGACGAAGGTGTTTATGACTTTATTTGACACATTATTAGCTCTTTACTTGTTTGTTTTCCAGATTTAAGAAAACTTTTTCTCTTAAGCTATCTAGTTTACAGCAATTTGATAAAATATAATTTTGTGAACAAAGGTGGAAACATTTACCTTTTCTCCCTACTTGATCCCTCCAAAATTTGGAAGCCACTCACGAGTAGTCTTATGGCAATAGGGTTACTTGCATAAATTCAGTAAGGTTTGCTCTCTCTTTATAGTAGGATACAATTGGAAACGGTGGTTATGTTACCAGGGCTGTGACTGGAATATCATATTTGAGAATGAGCATAGAAAATCTGGCTTCAAGGGGTCCCAGCCATACAGTGACAACTGTCACTTCTAGGCTGGACACAATGGCTCACACCTATAATCCCAGCATTTTAGGAGGCCAAGATGGGAGAATTGCTTGAGCCCAGGAGTTTGAGATCAGCCTAGACAACACAGCGAGCCTTCATCTCTACAAAAAAATTTTTAAAATGTGACCGGGCGTGATGGCGCACATCTGTAGTCCCAGCTACTTGGGAGGCTGAAGAATTGCCTGAGCCCAGGAGGCCCAAGCTGTGGTGAGCAGTGATCGTGGCACTGCACTCCAACCAGGGCAACAGAGACCCCCAACTAAAAAAAAAAAAAAAAAAAGTCACACAGCTATTACCAGGCTAAACCAAGGGTCTATTTGGTTCTAAATCCAGTGCTCTGCATCCTATCTCTTTCTAAGCATCGGTTACATAGGATCAGAACTGGCCACTGATCTACCAGAACACCTGCCCCAGGGGAGAGATGCTCAATTATAGACAGTGAGAGGTTACGGAGGACATCCAGGGAAGCCCCCACTTTAAGGCAGATAAAACAAGTGAAGCCTAAAGAAGTAGTCCAAGTTTGCCCAGGATCCTCC